AACCAGCAGCACCTCCCCCTCTTGATTATTTTTTCGCCCCCGAGAAATGAGCCCCCAAACTTGTATTTATAGGCTTCGGTTGGGGGGTTTTTAGATAAGAATGATGGATTCAGCCTTATCTTCAGTTAATAACCATGTAACCACGTTTAGAGATGACATCTAGGCAGTTATGAACCTCTGGAACAGAAGAAATCCCGTGAAAACCCATCAAAAACCACCAAAATGCTTTTTCGGATAAAATCTGCACGAGTCACTGTCTGGTAGCTCGGCCTTGGCGGAGCCACCATTTGGTGGCTCGGTTTTGGCGGAGCCTAAATCATTTTGGTGGCTAAGGCCCTAAGGCCGATGCCAACTGGCTCTGGCCGAGGTTTGATTTGGTAGCGAGTCCGGCCGCCAGCGGCTGTTCTGATTTTTTGGGTTTTGACTTGTTATGTCGTTATATGTATTTCGTCGTTTTGTTGACTTGTACACTTCACCGATTCGTTTCATGTGTTTCGGTAACATGGAGGTGGCCGATGAGCTTGTAGGCCACTGGGTTCACTGTTTTAGTGGCCGATGAGCGTGCAGACCACTTGGCGGTGGCCGGTGAGCACGCGGGTAACACTTGGAGCTGACTGATGAGTGCGCAGGCCATTTGGAGGTGCCCGGTAAGCGCACAGGCTAGTCATTTTGCCATTCTGGTGGCCGATAAGCGTACGGACCACTTGGAGCTAGCTGACGAGTGTGCGGGCCACTTGGAGGTGGCCGGTGAGCACACAGGTCACTTGGTTCGCCGTTTTGGTTTGTCGATGAGCGTGCGGACCACTTGGCGGTGATCGATGAGCACGCGGGCCACTTGGAGCTGGCTGAGGAGTGTGCGGGCCACTTGGAGGTGGTCGGTGAGCGCACGGGTCACTCGTTTTGCCATTCTGGTGGCCGATGAGCATACAGGCCACTTGGAGCTGGCTGACGAGTGTTCGGGCCACTTGGAGGTGACAGGTGAGCGCACGGGTCACTTGGTTCGCCGTTTTGGTGGCCGATGAGCATGCGGACCACTTTGCGGTGGCCGGTGAGCACGCGGACCACTTGGAACTGGCTGACGAGTGTGCGTGCCACTTAGAGGTGACCGATGAGTGCACGGGTCACTCGTTTTGCCATTCTGGTGGCCGATGAGCATGCGGGCCACTTGGCGGTGGGTGGTGAGCACGCGGGCCACTCGAATAAACCTCATCGACTTGGATGATGACGTTTATCATCTTCTCTTCATCTCGAGCTGCATACGGAAACCTATAGGCATTTTTAGACGCCTACAAGGACCTGTTAGTTGATGTAATATTGATGTCATTGAATTTCTATATCAATATGTGATCTAATTTAATTTTTGAGAAAAGCTTCCATTTGCATAAATAAAACTTTATAAAATCTTCAAATACGATACCTCATCTTCAAGTACGATACAACAAGAGTAAATTGAAATACATAAAAACACACTAAATAAATTATAGATTTTAACCACCACCATCTTCCTTCTAATTTGAACTACGACCACCAAATTGTCTTCCAAGAAATTCAATCTTCAGCTTATTGTAATACTCTACTTGTAATGGAGGCTTGCCATCAGTGGTAATTGCCATAATTGTAAAACCCCATAACTTTGAAAATACTATGATAAATAGTAATAAATGAGTTATATTATGATAAATATTATTTATTGATGAATGAATGTGTTTGAAATCGATTAGAGATCAATTTAAGTATATATGTACATATATAATAGCATAAACATGCAAATGTACACAAACCTGTAGGCTGGAATTTGCATCTAACTGGTCGAATGATCACTTGGCATCAGTCGACCGATAGGAGCTGGCCTGTCAACTGATGCTAAGTGATCAGTCGACCGTCGGGAAACCAAATTCCTGCTAAGTTTCTGTTTCGGGTCAAACTGTGTTGGTTAGGGTTTATCAGTATAAATAGGAGTATATATACCCGAAATTTTGCTTTTTCTTTATATTATCATGTCCCAGCAACCACCCTCTCCCCTTAGCAAACCCTAGAGATAAATTCGTGAGTTTTGAGAGCTTTGAGAAGCAAAAATCAAGAAGAGGGCGAGATCCGTGACTTTTGGTGAAGGAGGGTTGTGTTTCTCACGTGTTTGGGAGTTCATCACGAGTTTTGAGGTGAGTTACATCTCCTCCAATCCCATCCCTAATTTTATTTCTAGTTTTAATTGGATTTATTGGATTTTAAACCTAGTTTAAGTATAAATTTTGCCCTTTTAAACTATAAGATACAAAGATTCGATCTTTTTGTTTTAAAAGGTTATGAAACAAATTCTCTGTTTTGGATTTCAGTTCTGAAATATATCTAACTTGAGTTTTTGTCAAATTTCATTATTTTCATGAGGTTTCCTATAAGTATGAGCATGTTTGGGTTATTAGAATCCACTCCAAATTGATAATTTTGTTTTCATATTGATAAGTGAACCCTAATCACATTACACAAAACCTAATACATGTATTTAAATTTCTGAACTTTGATGAATTGTAGATCAAAACATGCATCTTTAGTTCACCCTTAGTTTCAGCTCTGGCCGGTCGACCGAACGGAGGATGTCGGTCGACCGGTCTAGGCTATGTTGCATGTGCACGTTTGTGTGCGACACTGATTGGTCGACCGATGTCATACTTCGGTCGATCGATATGATACTGATTTGTGTTTTTGTGTTTCACCATATTTGTTTAATCGCAACCACGAAGCACGAGTTTCATATAGATCCATGCACGTGACCATGAGAGTGTACACGTATTTAGGATTGTGACGCATGAGCTATTCGAGGTGTGTAATCTATCATTTGATTTGTCTTATTGTACGGTAGGTGTGGATGCTTGAGTGGGGTTAGTCGGTATTCTTGCAATGAGATCGTGGATGGACTACACTCAGAGTGCGTACTAATTCTAGTGTTGTGGATTTCTAAATGTTAATTTCCTCTTAGTTCAGGATAGATGATTTATATATCTATATGTACTAACTTGTATTTTCCTACACCTACCCCCTCCCCCTGGGGTAGTGGAGATGTTCTCGCGAGCGCTTTGACGCTCGTTGTTTCTCTTCTTTTCAGGCAGCGAGCTAGGTGTCCGGAGAGTCGCAGGTTGATGGAGATGCATTTTAGCTCACCGTCATATATTATTAGTAGTTATTATTTATTTTCAGATATTAGAGTTGTATTTCATCTTGGAAAGGTTGAGTGTCTTATTACTATTTCATTTGACTCTATGTATTAAGATATTTCACATTTGTTTCATTTTATTCAGTTGGAATATGACTATGTTATTATTGGATTCTCTCACTTCCTTTATCATGTTCATTACATTACTATCTTTATTTTATCAGCTTTGTACCTACACTTGTTAATTATTGATTCCACTAGAGAGATATTACTGTGATGGTAAAATATGTTATTGCACAGTGTGGGTGCATGGTAGGTTTGACATCCTTGGGTTTACCTTGAATTACAGCCTTATGTGAAACCAAGGGCATCACAATAATCCTCTCATCTTGTTTCATAGTTTTCAATCATATTTTTTTCCTTTTTGATATTTTGAGCTTCTTGAACGACATGTAGTCTGGCTTGCTCTATCTTTATGCGCTCTTGCTCCTGAACATAAATTTGATCAAATAATTCTGCTCTTTTTGTTTCTTTTTCTTTCCGATCCTGCTTTATTTCATCAATAAACAACATCACTGATGTAATTTCAAAAGCCATATGCATGTCTTTACCTTGTTTCAACCTTTCGTTTATAGCCTTTCTACATATGGGCCTTGATGAACCCTCAGTAGGATATTCGTCTTCCCTGTAATTTTTTAAATCTGGAGTTGCAGGAGAAGAAGTAGCATGACTTGAATTTTTTGACTTATTAGATTTTTTCATTGAAAATTGGCCAAGCCCCTTTGGATGGAACCTTAACTCATTCCAACAATGTAAAAATTAAAAACTTACTCCTTGCATGCTTTGAAACATTTGCATCGCTTCCATAATCTAACTAAAAAATAAAATAAATTTACTAACATGTAAAAAGTAAAATAATTAATAAATTATATAAATATAATCAGTTTAAATAATTTGAAGCCACAATTAGTACATTGTCATTCTCCGTCATGCCACTTTGATTTCTTGATTCAATTTGATTAAAACACGCATAAAATTTACTAACTGCAATATGAATAGTCGACCAACAGTGCTCTAACCTTTTTTGATCACGATCGCTACTAAATGTCTTGTTTTCTTGATAGTAAGTTGTTACTCGGTGCCAAAATCTGGAATATTTTTGCAATGTCCATTGCACTGGATCAATGTTAGTGTTGAACCATGCAGATACAAGCAAGCTGTCTTCTTCCATCCGATATTTTGATTTTCGCATCGACTTCTTTTGCAATGGTATATTTTTTACCGAATTTTCTTCGGGTATGTCCGGTTGAAATGATTGCTCTTCATATTGATCTTCCCATCGATAGGGGTGTCCAAAAAGCCCGCGGCCCGGGCCCAGCCCGGAGCCTGGCCGGGCCCGGTCGGGCCCGAGCCCGGCCCGGGCCCGGGGTCAGCCCGGAAACCCGGGCCAAACCCGGGTCCAGGCCCGGGCCTGGGTCGGTGCAAACTC